GAGCCCGACGTGGGGCTCGACCTCACGAACTGTGAGATCATGACTAAGCCAAAACCAAGAGTCGGACGCTTAAACAACTGAATCACCCAGGCGCTCCCTTTTACACATTTTTAAAAATATACGAATGTTTCAAGTGAGAAACCTGGGTTTTTTTATAGGAAGAGGAATGCGACTCTAAAACTGTTTCTCCTGAAAGCCAATATCACGACGCAATATTTATATTTTAAAGAAAAATATGACTTTTGTGTAAATTTCTGATCTGTGACATAAAGCAAATATGTTAAGTGAAGTTCCTTTTGTGTTTTTTGTTTGTTGTCAACCCAGCTGTGTTTTGGGGTGGGGGAGGGGGGGGGCGCGGAAAAGGCAGAAAAGCTTACTTAATTTGGGTACCGGCTGGGTGTCCCAAAACTGGTATCTGTGTTTGGCAGCCTCATCAATGTTCCTGGCGGGGCCCTGGCATGCGGACAACAGCTCCATTGCTCTCTGGATATCCTGCAACTTCTGCATTGGAATGGTGGGATTCTATAACAGCAAAGACACACAGACACAAAGATGAGGAAGCTTACGTGGCTCCAAAACCTGGGCCAGACACGTCTGTATCTGCCCTGGAGACTACAACACCAAAAACACAATCTTCCTCTAAGCCTGGTCAGGGTCTTGGGCTCAAGCGCTAACGCACTAAAACAGAAGTGAACGCATTATGTTAAAGATCACAACAGCTCTGTAGCTTTAATGGGGCTTTGACAGTTTTGGAAATCTGAGGTAAAGCCAACCACCCACTGGCTTCAGGGTCCCACCTGGCTGCGAGGGGTCGTCACCATCACTCATCTGGAAGGAGTGGCAGGGAGGAGTGACACGCACTCAGGAGTCACTGCCCTACAGCAGCCAGTCAGGCACACCCTTGGTGTCACTGTTAGGGTTAATGCTCGGCAGCAGCAATGTGGGGACAAAGGAAAGGACTGCTAGGATGCAAACCAGGCAGAAAAGGGAAATTTTAGTTCAAAAAAAAAAAAAGGAAAAAGAAGACGGAAAGAACTGTGAATTGAGTGCTAAGCTGGGAAGGAAGTTAACCAAGAAAGAAAATCTCACTGCGTATGCCTTCCTCCTGGACCACCCCCTGCCCTCTCCCAGCCCGGATCCTCCCCCAGAGACAAAACCTTCCAAAGAGCAGTTTCTTCCGAGAGTTTAGCTCTTTGGCAACCACAGCCTGTTTTCCCCAACCCAAGTGTTGGAAACTAACCTTTTTAAGTAAAACATATTCTCAGTCTGGAAAAATGAACGTATCTTTAAATTCTAAGGTCTCTTCCTCGAAGCCAATATTCCTCTTATCTCTAAAGATTCCCAGCTCTTTTTTTTTTTTAATCCCTGAAATAATGTAATTCCACATGGAAAATGAGACTATTCCTAAAATGAGAGCACGCAGTGCTGAATAGTAAAATCACGGAGTTTTTTCAACACACAAAATGATTAGTTTTTGAACTTTGATGCCACACGAAGAATGCTCTTCATGTAGTTCAGAAGTGGTTGACGAGAATTTCAGAGCCCTTCGGTTTTCCTGTATGTCAACACACCATGGGCACCAACGAGAGGTACCATCGACACTCGCTGGTTTATTAACAGTGGCTCTGGACTTCTGTTCAACTTTGAATCTGAGGTCTGTGGTCTGGGGTTGATCCTTTGATTTGGGAAGCTATACCCATGTGCCACAGTACAAAACAGGGTTTATTTAACACGGACTGCCCTGTCTTTGATTTGTCACTGGGTTTGCTTAGGATTCTTGCCACTACAATAACTCAAGGAAACAAAGTGCTGGAGTCTAACCAGAGATGGGTTGAGGTCAGTATCGTCTCCACTTCTAAGTCCAACAGCATCACCCAGGACTGCCACAATTCTGTAAGCTGTTTATCTGGTACTTTCATAGAGGTCTAAGTCACGAAGATCAGATTTCAATTACACATATTAACTTGAAAAAATACTTTGGCTAGTCCCATTTATTGTATTTTTAGATTTCTCTTGCTCTGGTCTCTTCTGAACCTCCAACATAAGAGGGACTGATTGCCAGCAAAATGAAATTTACATGCATTTGAACCCCCAACAAAGCAGTCTCTTTGAAGACCTATAATTTAACCAGGAACTCAGAGCACAGCATATTTCAACCAGTAATGCTTGAACATGCACCCGTTTATCTTTTTAAAAGCAAATTTGAACCTACACAGTGCCTGCACTGAATCTGTCATGCGAATTTTCCTTTCCTAATTTTGGAGTTAAATTCTCAATCCCTAACATACCAAACTCAAGCAGTTTTGCGACCGACATGAATCAGCATCTTTGCTCCAAAGGAGCCAATCCTATCTCAGCTCCATAAAGACCTCAGAGTGGTGTCAACCCTACCTCATTAGCCTCATCAGGTTGACTAGCAGTCTGTCCACAAAATGACCATTCATGAAATATTTATATCTGAATGCTCACTATTTTAAGTGCTTTCTTAAAGTAGATACAAGTGAGCACAATTTTCAAATCCGTGGTCATAAAGCAGCAAGGAAAATTCAGCTATGATATTTTTTTTTTTTAATATAATTTATGGTCAAGTTAGCTAACCTACAGTGTATATACAGTGTGCTCTTGGCTTTGGGGGTTGATTCCCATGATTCATCGCTTACATACAACACCCAGCACTCATCCCCAGCTATGATATATTCTTAAAACTATCCATCCACCTTCCACACAGCAGCACCACCTGAGGGGAAACGATTTGGTGTTAGGGGAGGTGAGGACGTGTATCAACCCCATGTTAGCTTCCCGCTACCATATCCCTACGTCGGGCACACCTCTTTTCGTCGGTGGAATATTAAATACCAACAGTGCCCTTTACCCTTTATTTTCTCAATTTAATACCTTGGAAAAACGTCCAGGCCCTCCACCACTAAGACGTCTAAAGAATCCAGACAAATACCATCTTATTCTGGCCCGTGAGTGCAGAGGAGGGCATGTCCGAAACACCACCCGCTGTAATTTACAGGGTTATCCAGAGCCAGCATCTAGTGTAAGGGAAAGAAGCCCCAGTTTAAAACAAAATGAAATGGAGGGGCGCCTGGGTGGCTCAGTCGGGTAAGCGTCCGACTTGGGCTCAGGTCATGATCTCACAGTTCATGGGTTCAAGGCCCACATCAGGCTCTGTGCTGACAGCTCAGAGCCTGGAGCCTGCTACAGATTCTGTGTCTCCCTCTCTCCCTGCTCCTCTCCCACTCACATTCTGTGTGTGTCTCTCTCTCAAAAAAAAAAAATTAACCTTAAAAAAAATTTTTTTAAACAAATGCAATGGAGAAAGGCCCGCGTTAAAACATTGCGATGTATTCTCAACTTAAAAAGAAAATAATTTCTCTACCATATGATGCAAGCAGTTCCTCCTGTGGTGACTAGCTCTAGTTTCTTGTAAGTGACCTTCAGAAGTAAAGGAAGGGTGCAAAACCAATGGGGGGTGTGGAGAGGGCAATAGGCTGACGGTGATGGGAGAAGCAATACGGAGGGTCACAGCGGCATAGAAGTGACACCGCAGGGATCCGACGAAGCGACTGAGGAACGGGAAAAATGAGTTTACGGTGCACCTTAATTGAGTGACCTCGGAAAGTATGCCTGGTGGACAGAGTATTTATTACCTGAGAGACGAGCTGAAAAGCGAGGGGTGGGGGAAGACCCCGTTTTCTTCTCACCCCACAGAGGGAAAACTGGGCAAAGTTAAGTATCCTCTCAGTGACTCCTGGTCCTTACGAGGAAAACGGTAACAACAAGAGAGACTGCCTGCAAGATTCGCTTCTCGTGATAAAGTGTCAACTGTGCACAAGGAAAAAAACCTTCAACCCCACGAAACTTGCATAGTGCTAATAACCACCATGTAGGCAGTGCTTTACAATACAGAGATCATTTAACTGTAACCTCCTCCTCACGGCCCCGTGAGTTGCGGCAGGAGGCAAAAGGCATGACCCCCACGCCGCAGGTGAGGACACAGGCGCAAAGGGGGTGACACCCACGCGTCTCGTGAGCCCACATTCCCCAGTCCGCTCCCGAGCCCTTTCCGCTATACCACGCGCTACCCAGGAAACCCACACGGAGCTGTGACCATCCGCGTCATCTCTGCCTCGTCCTCCTTCGAATCTTGCCCCTTTCCACGCTGTGAGTTTCTTGCATCTAGAGGGCTCTGTGCGTCCCTGTGGCCAGCACACAAGGCCTGTGTTCACGGCCAGGGGGACCGCGGCTGGCCACACAGGAAGGGGCGCCTGCCATCTGTCCCACCAGAGCCCCACGAGGCCGGCAATCTGCCAACACGGGGCTCAGCGGGACAACTGCTGGTTTGGTCCTGGATGGGTGTTTCTCCAGCGGGAATGTTAGGAGAGATTTCCCACCCTCGGCAATGGAATTTGAGAACGGCCACTGAAGACTGCTCACACCCAAAGTCAACGGAAGACTTACCCGTGGCTGCTCCCGCTGAAATCTGCTGCCAGATGGTGTGGTGCTATTCAGGTAATTAGACAGACACCCAGAAAAATTACAATGTGAATATCTTCTGAACTAAAAGTAATTAAATAGTAAGTGTAACTTAAAAAAAAAAACAAAACAGCACACCTAACAAGCTCCCAATGAGACTTAACTTCTTTCACTACAATCTACGTACTAATTTGCTCTGAGAAAAAGGAAAATTGCAGGCTCTATCCACATACACACAAAAACTCAGTCTGTACCTCTTAGTTATTCAGGTACTTAACATCAGCTTCAGGAGGCTGTAAATAGCCTCCAGGTATAGTGCCCTCCAGCATACAGTCACAGCAAATTCCTAAGGGTGCCCCAACACGGCACCAAGCTGCACAAACCAGCTCTCACGTGCTTGAGAAACCACAGAGGTGACAGTAAAACGGGGCTCACTTTTGAAGGCTGCTGGATTTTAATCTCCTGGGAATCAGATGCCGAGTCTGACTTGGTGCCTCCGGAATTTGGTTTCTCCTTTTTTCGCTTCTGCTTCTTCTTTTTCTTTTTGGCACCCAAGTCTGCTCCGGGACTTCTGTTAGGAAATTTACAGAGGGCAAAACAAGAACAAAAAATCATTATATAAAGTTAATCATTTAGGACAACACAAATTAGACACAGGCAGGGGGAAAAAAAGCTGTCAGGATGCATGATACCGTGATTTATAAGAAACAAAGATATTTGATCATTCAGATGACCAAGTATATAGCTCTCGTACCAATTTCCTACGTGACAACAGCTTAAAATGTCTCTTATGTTAATGATGTGACTTTTGGAAAGCGTCTAAGCATGGGGGCTGGTTGCCAGCGGTGCCTACCATGTGTTAGACGTTTGGAACTTTCAGTCCCAGCCCCCAACCCCCAGGGAGGAGAGAGGGGGGCAGCAGAATGGCCAATGACTTCATTAGTCACGTCTACGTATCGAAGCCTCTATAAGAACCCAAAAGGGCAGGGTTCGGAGAGCTTCTGGGCTGGTGAACACGGGGAGGTTCAGGGAGAGTAGCGGGCTCAGAGAGCACAGAGGCTCCACACCCCTTCCCCACACCTGGCCCTGCGTATCTCTCCCACGGGGCGCACCTGATTTCTTTTCTGATAACCCGGTGATCTAGTAAAAAAAAAAATGTTTCTCTCGGTTCTGTGGCTGTTCTAACAAATGGAATCAGAGCAGGGGTCTTGGGAACCTCTGATTTACAGCTGGTTGGTCAGAAGTTTAGGTGACAACTTGGGTTTGCAGCTGGCGTCTGAAGTGGGGGGACAGGGTAGGTGGGAGCAGTCTGGCGGGACTGAACCCCTACCCCAGGGAATCTTATACTACTTCTGGGTAGACAGTATCACGGCACAACTGTATGAGAATTCTACTTGTGACCTAGAACTGCCTGGTGTCGTGTGGGAAGCCCCACCCCCTCACACACAGGATGGGATTAGATCCAGAAACTCACAACAGGATGTAAAGCAGGAAATGAAATTTAGATGCGAAGTTAACAGGACAAGTAACAAAGAATCATCAGTCTACACTCAGTCATAGTACAGGTGCTTAGATCTCAGATATCATTAGAACAGGAAGGCTGTAGATACAGATCATATTTTATCATGGAAGTCAAACAGCTCTCACATGTATCACTGCTCTGCTAACCTACTTTTTAGTCAGCCCTTTAAGGGAGAGATACATGTAAGAAACTCCATTATAAACATCTCTTGGGTACAACAAGCCACTAATCTCAACACCACAGAGCCAAAGAAACCACTTCTCTGCAGAAGGGAAATTGTCCTTAATAAATAATTTAACAAGAGGAATGAACAACAAAAAATTCTACATGAAAAAAAAAAAGTTCACTGGTAAAACATTTCTGTCTGGAACTCTTGTCAACTTATGGCTGTCACCTTCTGAAAGAGCAAAAGAAACACAGAGAGATTTGCAATTTCCAGTTAACTGGGTCTACGCTACCAAAGTATTCCCAGAAGGTAAGTTAAAATTCAGAGTCCGAGATTACTACTGCATTATTGCCTGGATGTAGGGAAAAGTGATAGAAACAATCAGTTCCATTCTATTGTTCTCAATTATCTGTTGCTGCCTGCTTTCTCTCTTGAATTTTTACCTAATTATCAAATATACATGCATCATACAAGACACAAATCTTACTGATATATATTAACAGCTTTAGAACATTGTCCTTCAAAGGCAGCCAATGGTTTTTCTGGTATATATTCTTCCAAAATATTCTTTCTTCTCTAAGCATGGCTTAATTTTTACTATGAATAAGTTGGTTTTTTTATTTCTTTTTCTTTTTTTCCTTTTTGACGGACCATATGTGTGAGAGCAGGGTAGGGGCAGAGAGAGAGGGAGAGAACCCCAAGCCGGCTCCACACTGTCAGCTCAGAGCTGGATGCAGGGTTCGACCCCATGAACCGTGAGATCATGACCTGAGCTGAAATCAAGAGGTGGATGCTCAACCGACTCAGCCACCCAGACGCCCCCATCATGAATAAGTTTTAAACAAAAACCGAATCTTAAAAACATACCATTTGCTGGGGCCCCTGGGTGGCTCAGATGACAGAGCGTCCGGGCTCAGTAATGATCTCACGGTTTGTGGGATTGAGCCCCACGACAGGCTCTGTGCTGACAGCGTGGAGCCTGCTTGGGATTCTCCCTCTCTCCCTCTCACTGCCCCTCCCCCACTCACACAGGCTTGTGCACACGTGTTCTCTCTCTCTCTCTCTCAAAAATAAACAAACATTAAAAAAAAAAAAACATACCATTTGCCAGCTTGTTTTTTTTCTCCTTCCACTTAATGTTCCTTAGACTCCTTTCCATGTCAGGATACACCGAGCTACCTCATTTCTTTTTAGCAGGTGGAGAGCATTCCATTGTGTAAATATATATTTTATTTAACCAGTCCTATATTAAAAAATGCTACCGCCAAAAAAAAAAAATTCTGGTATTTACATCTTTATGCTTTCACAAAGGTGGAAATGGTAGGTCAAGGACATTTTTAGTTTCAGTAAGAAAATTAAGATCACTTTACTAAACTGCACCAATAGGCTCTCCACCAACAGTAAATCAGTTTCTGGTTCTGCATGTAAAGAGCTTAGAAATCACTGCTCCATCCTAACAGACTGAAAAATCAACAATTCCTACTGGATCCAAGAGAAAGGCAAGGGCACCGGGCAAACTAGAGGCCCCAAGACTGGAGATGGACGGGTGAATACAGGGTATTGAGGCTTCCCAGAGCAAAGCCAGAGGAGTGCACATCTCCATGGGAGCCGCTGCTCAAGGAAGAAAACCCCAAATGTAGGGCGTGTGGGTGGCTCAGTCGGTTAAGCGTCCAACTTTAGCCCAGGTCATGATCTCACGGTCCATGAGTTCGAGCCCCGCGTCGGGCTCTGTGCTGACAGCTCGGAGCCTGGAGCCCGCTTCGGATTCTGTGTCTCCCTCTCTCTCTCTGCCCCTTGCTTGCTTGCAATCTGTGTCTCTTTGTCTCTCAAAAATAAACATTAAAAAAAACAAAAGAAAGAAGGAAAGGAAAGGAAAGGAAAGGAAAGGAAAGGAAAGGAAAGGAAAAGGAAAGGAAAGGAAAAAGGAAAGGAAAGGAAAAGAAAAGAAAAGAAAAGAAAAGAAAAGAAAAGAAAAGAAAAGAAAAGAAAAGAAAAGAAAAGAAAAGAAAACCCCAAATGTAACAGACCAAGTGCTGGGGCCTGCGTGTGGAGAAGGGGACCCACACTTTACCTCCAGGAGCCCAATCAGGTTCCCACAGCAAATACCAGACAAAACTCCTCACACACGCCTGGCAGTGGGAGGGCGAAGAGGTGACGTTCTGAAATCCGCCAGCGCACTGTTCTCAACAAGGCCTGGCCCCAGGAGAAACCAGTCGACCAGAGCCTAACAGACATGGGGAAAGGAAATACCCGACCCCAGCCCACTGTGGCATCCTGCCCCACACACGGGGGGAGAAGAAAACTAAGAAAGCACAAGTGAGTGCGCAGTCCAGAGGCACAGGTTCACTAAAGGCCGGCAGGGGCCCAATCGCGGGACCACGGAACTTCCCCGGCCCACACCGTGCCACCATGCTACCAAAGGCCCACTTACAGCCATTCCTCTTACCAAGTACCTCGCGTCTGGCTATCAAGAGAAAATTACAAGGCGTACTGAAAGGCCAAATACACAGCTGGAAAAGAGACCAAGCACAGAAACCAGATAGGCCAGCACAGAAACCAAATACGTGAAACAGGGGCGCCTGGGTGGCCCCGTGGATTAAGCATTTGACTTCGGCTCCAGTCACTCACTCACAGTTTGAGTTTGAGCCTTACATCAGGCTCTGCGCCGTCAGTGGGAGCCTGCTTCGGATCCTGTCCTCTCCCTCTCTCTGCCTCATCCTGCTTGCACTCTCTTTCCCTCTCAAAAATAAATAAGCATTAAGAAAAAATATTTGAAGTAGCATGACTGAGAATTTCCCCCATTTTGTCAGACACCAAACCACAGACCCAGGAAGCTCGGAGAACACCAAGGAGGATACATGTCAAAAAACACTCCGCCTCAGCACAGGCGTTATCATTTTCAAACTACTGAAAATCAAAGATTAAAAAAAAACAACAACCCTGAAAGAAGTCAGAGGCAAAACACACCTCACCTATAAAGGAACAAAGAGCCGTAAGTAGACGAGAACGTCAGTGTCCCAGTCTCTCTGCCAATACTGAAATATTACCATTCTTTTTCATCCCTGATCGTCTGACAGGTAGAAAAGTCTCACTGCAGATTTAATTTTTCTTTGTTTAATCAGGAGCGCGGCTATACATCTTTTCGTGTTAATGGACTACTTCTAGTTTTCCATGAATTGCTCACTCATATCCTTTTTCTGTTACCCCTCTCTTTAAAAAATTGATTTGGGGCGCCTGGGTGGCGCAGTCGGTTAAGCGTCCGACTTCAGCCAGGTCACGATCTCGCGGTCCGTGAGTTCGAGCCCCGCGTCAGGCTCTGGGCTGATGGCTCAGAGCCTGGAGCCTGTTTCCGATTCTGTGTCTCCCTCTCTCTCTGCTCCTCCCCCGTTCATGCTCTGTCTCTCTCTGTCCCAAAAATAAATAAACGTTGAAAAAAAAAAAAAAATTTAAAAAAAAAAAAAAAATTGATTTGTAGGTGGTCTTTAGAACCATGTGGATGGAACCTATCAGGTGTTAAGTATTTTTACTTCGGGCACTTTTCTTTCATCCTTCCAACGGCCCTGTGCAATACTGCTTCATGTCTGCGTCACACTGTCTAGGCTGTTGTGTATAATTTAGATTGCAAATACTCTGCCCGGTGTATTTTTTATGGTATCTTCTCCTGTACAGACATTTAACATTTTGGTGGAGCCTAATATTTAAAAAATTTTCCCTTGTGGCTTCTGGGGCTTTTAAACATTGCTTATTAGAAAGACCTTGCCTATTCCAAAACTATATGATCATCCTTCTGTGTTGTCCCTCTATTGACTCTATGACTTTTGGAAAATAATATTTAGCTTTCTAATTCATTTGGAATAAAAGCGTGAAGTACCATGTCTCTATT